GCAGGACGGGGGCCACTCGGATGTCGCCCACTTAGACGTCGCTGCCGACCCTTTTCCCTGTCCTGGGGTGTCGTGCGGCCATCTGACCTGGGGCTGTGTGCTCGTGAGCAGGTGCCGGGAAGGCCCACGCTCTGAGGAGCTGGAGCTGAGCCTCGGGGCGCGGGAGGAGGTGTGGGGGTCCCTCCCTGGCTGCTACCAGGGGGACCCGAAGCCAGCACTCACCCGTGAGAGTAAACGAGAGGGAGGCTGAACGTGCTTTACAGTCTCAGAACGAGAGACCTGAGGCTGGAACGGCTGGAGTCTCTGCGGGAAGGTGGGGGTTGCGGGTGGGGGGAGATCAAAGGACTTTATGGGTGTAGCCCAGTGATGGCAAACCTTGTGAGCTCGGCGTGTCCGCATTTTGAAAAACCCTAACTTAACTCTGGTGCCGTGTCACACATAGAAATTTTTTGATATTTGCAACCATAGTAAAACAAAGACTTATGTTTTTGATATTTATTTTATATACTTAAATGCCATTTAACAAAGAAAAAACAACCAAAACAGTGAGTACGCATGTCACCTCTGACACGCGTGTCATCAGTTCACCATCACTGGTGTAGGCATAACCCATGGACACAGACACTGTGTGGTGGGGGTGGGGTGGGCTAGAGGGGTCATTGGGGGACAGGGGACATCGGTAATACTTCCAACAATAAAGCTTTTTAAAAAGAATTTTAGAATAGCTTCTGGCCTCTGAGCTGAGAAGGTCCCATGCAGGCATCGTGCATCACCATAAACTGCAAGCGTGTCCTTTACGTGAGCTCCTGTGAGAGCTCAGGACAGTCAGGTGACCTGGGCTCCTGTGAGAAAAGGACTCTGCAGCTCAAGTTCATGGGAAGAAGGGCAGGAGCCCGAGCTGCTCCCAGCGCCTGACACTGGGCGTTGTTGCTGCTGAGAGCTCTGCTTTGTTTTCATAAAGATGCCCCTGCTGTTGTCTCAGTTGCGTTGGAATGTGTTACATTTATTTTTGTTTTCATTTTGATAAGGGGCATAGGAGCCCGTGTTATTTATAAAGACGCTTGGCCTTTGTGCGTAGCTGCTGGCGGAGGCGGGGTCGCCCTGCTCTCTGCTGGTGGGATGTAAGGCGTGGCTGCCAGGCGCGCGGAGCTCGCCAGCCCCAGAACAGCGGGTCGGCATCCTGCGCGTCACCGTCGCCGTGGGCCGTGCTGCCTGCGGCTTCCCCGCTCCTCCATCGGAGGCTCAGTGTTTGTCCGCTCACATCTCTTAAAAAGGGAAAGCGTTCCCAGCTACTTATT